AGCTTCTGGACTGCTTGCTCTACAGTTAGTGAGGCTGAGAAGACGAAATACAATCACTCCATTTCAATAAGCTTCTGGACTGCTTGCTCTACAGTACTCTAACAAGTTCCAACAACTCAATGTCATTTAATATCCATAGTTCAGACAACTAATGGTACAAACTGGAAGAACTACTTTTAGTTACTTAACCCAGTACAGTGTACCCAGAATCTTAAGTAGATATGTCCAGAGCAATCCACTATTACTGTCCTTTCTCCTTGGTCTAACACTCTTGAATCCATTCCCACACATATTCCTCAGGTTTCAAGCAATATAAGTTAGTAAATTACTCTAAGTTATTAAGATGTGGTACTTACTCCTCTAAGATCCTCCAGGATTTGAGTTTAATTCTGTGTCTCAAAGAAATGAGAGATAGAAGGGTTCATTTAGAGGTGGATTAGTGTTTCCCTATGAGTCAAAAATCCCAGGTGAAGTAATTAGAAGGTCTTTAGGCAAGCAATAGAAGGAAAAATGACTGCTTCTCAGCAGTGAGGATGAGCAGGATTTGGGGGATTCGGGGCAATAAAATTTACTGAAATCTATTCAAATAATTTCATTCCTATTTTTAGGTTTGTTTCTTTCCTAATCAATAACCTAATTCTAACATTGAGAGGCCTAGTGAGGCCACATACTCAATATACACTGTATTTCAGGCAAGTTCAGGATGAGACATTGAGTTGTGTTTTCATAAGTTATGATGGTACAATCAAAAATAAAAGGGGCAGAGCTGGGGGTTTACCTCAGTGGCACCTCCACCTGCCTTGCAAGCACAAGGTCCTGAGTTCAATCCCCAGTACCAAAAAACAAAAAGATTCTATTAGGTCAGTCAGAGCAGTTGTCTGACTTTCTAGACATTATTGGAGTCCTCAATTTGTCATTCTTTTCTATTAGCTCTTCAATGAAGTCAGAATAAGGCAGCACATCTTATAATCCTTATACGCTTTGTTTCCAACAAAATCTTCCCTTGCAATAACTGCTTGGTCTCACAAGCCTTGTTTTTACAGATACTTTCTGATTCCATAACACTGTGTATAAGAATTCTTTTTTTTTTGCGGGGGGATCAAACTCAGGACCTTGCACTTGCGAGAAGGCAGGCACCTGAACCACTAAGCTAAATCCCCAGCCCAAGAATTCTTAACATTGTGGTAAGACCTGGGAAGTGAGGAACACGGGAGATAAAACATATACTGCCTTGACTAGTGCAACCACTGTGGAAATCAGAATGCAGATATCTCAAACAAGTAGGATTAGAAGTCCCATTTGACCCAGCTATTCCTCTAATGGATATCCTCCCAAAAGAATTAAAAGAATCATACCACAGTGATAGATGCACACCCATGTTGACAGAGGTGCAGTTTGTAATAGCTAAAACTTGGAAACAGCCCAAATGCCCATCAACTGAAGATTGGATAAAGAAGATGTGGGGTTTTTTAATAAAATGGAGTACTACCCACCCATAAAGAATGAGAAACTAGAGACATTTATAGCTAAGTGGATGCACATTGAGGCCATTCTCTTAACTGAAATAAATAGGACACACATGTGTAAATACCCAATAGTTTCTCTGGTGTGAAAAACTAAAAGTGCAAATAAGGATCAAAATGTATAAATGATATTGTGAAATAGGAAGAAAAGGTCTAAAGAAGTAGGGGAAGTGGGAGGGGTAGGGGAAAGGAAAGAAGGGAAAAGAAAAATATGAGAAAAGGAAAAACATGGAAACAAAGTCTTTGTAAATAGGGAAGGGTGGAGGGGGTGAAGGGAGGGCAGGGGAATGGGGAAAAAATAAGAACCAAGATATATCATGTATAGGTAAAAGATCCCAATGATGAATGTAACTGCATTGTATACCTAAAATGTACCAATAAACTCAATGAAAAAAAAACATATACTCCCTTGGGGAATACCTAAATCACTGATAACAAACTGGTTTTAAAAATAAAACCATTAAAGGCACTGCCAGTGAGTGCTGAGAAGGAAATGTTATTTCCTGAGAAACAGGTTATTGGAAACCAGAGAAAAGAGGATTGTTGTTATACAGTAGCAGACTGTTTAATTATGGACTGTAATTATGTAGAAGAAAAACTTATAAATGATCAACTTAGATATTTTGCTGAGGAAATTTCCAAGCAAAGGGTATATGAGAATGAGAATATATATATATTTATTGTGGCCTGGTTTCTTATTGCTTATCATAAAATGGAAGAAGAAAAGAGAAAAATTAATGGAGAAGTGCTAAACAAAAGAGAACCAGAACTTACTGGGTCATTAAATTCTCAGCCTATCCAGCTGCAACAAATGTTAAAATGTAAACATTTACCAAAGTTTCCTAATGTCATTACTTCAATACTTACGTGACTTTTAACCATGTTTCTTTTAGTTTGGTAAGGTTACATATTTTAAACATACATACCTGATATAAAACAAAACCAAGAACAGGAGTAAGCAAAGGCATAATTTACCCCAATATTTAGGATAATAATTCATGCCACACTAAGTAGTACTGAATCTTTAACTTTGAAGATGGGTATCAAGTTTACATATTTTTATGTCATTATTTTACATCATAACATATAATCCTTTATACATACCAAAATGTACTTAATTAAAAATTTAAAAGAACAGAAGTAATGAAATACCTTGATTTATTATTTCTAATCAAATAATTAAAAGAAAGATTTATAGGAGGAAGTACCTGTTTCGCTTCCTGTTTCATGACCTCTATGGATCTGCTGCAAGCCAGGAATAGGCCTTGTTGTTAGATACCAAACTGCATGTAGGACATCTGTGGCATGTATACGATTGTGATCTAAAGTCACCAAAACATTTTATAGAAATGATCATTCTGTTAGGTTTCTTCTGAGACATTTAAAAAGTAAAGAATATTCTAGTCATACGATATTCTAATCAATAAATTATAAGTTAGAATAATTTCCCACAATTATATTTTTGTTTTACCTAGTTTTAAAGAATCTTGATATGTTAAAAAAAGTTCTCTTTTTAAAACTTTTACATATAGTTATAAAAACAGTTCGAGGGCCAAAGAAAAGGCAGGGAGAAAAAAGATAATTGGAAAATTTTGCCTTATTTTTTTAAAATTTTGCCTTTTAAAAATACCATGTGGTGTCTGGATTATAGAGATATAATATAGGAAATGGTTTTTGCACAGAGAACAGTTATAGATTCCTGATTTTTTTTTTTTTTTTTGGTACCAGGAATTGAATTCAGAACTCTGCACTTACAAGGCAGGCAGCGACACCACTGAGCTAAATCTCTGACCCAATTCTGGATGTTTATGCTTTTACAAAAAAGTTTTTTTTTAATATGAGGAACACTTATCTCTCAGATTTGGTATACTGGTATGTAAAAGCATCCAGAATAGTGTCTGACATCTACTATATGATAGTAAAAGATTGGTTTCCTGTAACACCACTATGTGAAAAGGCAATGTTGCATAGAAGTCAGATGGACCTAAAACTGAGACCAGCTTTGCTATCTAGTTTTGAGATATTTCTGAGTTTTTATTTCTCATCTGTAATACAATCTCTGAACAAAGATTAAATGACATAACCTACATGAATATGATTATATAGTCAAAGCATATATTCAATAAAATTCAAACACTTCAGCACATTAATGAATACCTACAATATAGAATCAGCAGATGATACAACAGTATGGGTTCATGCTGTAAACGTGACATAGTGTCAATCCATTAGGAACTCAATTGGTAATATAATTACTACCTTTTATTGATGATGTACCATGTGCTCTGAATTCTAATATCCTTCTCATTGATCACTTTATATTATCATTCCCTATGGGGTACGCACTATTGTTATTTCTATTTACAAATTTATAAACTAAGTTTAGAAAAGTTAGGTTCAGAGCCTGTTTTCTTAACTAATCTGTTCCAATTAGAGCTGAGAGTGAAGGCTTCTTACCATCTTTCTTTCCATTCTCCTTCCCTTGAAGAACCTTGAAGCATCTGTATACTCAATTCATAAAATTCAACCACTTCTTAAATATATAGTTTGTAAATGAGAGTTATAGTGTACATAACTCACTTTAAATTATTAAACATCATTACTAATGGGTTATGACAATTTAAGAATAACATACTCTATATAGTTGAATTCCCAAATAATGTATCCACACAGAGAACTACAGAATGTTTCAACACATAAATCTGTAATTTTTCCTACTATGAAGTTCAAATTATATTCAATCCAATAAATCAAAAATTATTCACTAAGTTAGAAAACAAAAACAAATTCTATTGATGAATTTTAAACATTTTAAAATGCACACTTTTCCTAAATTCTTGAATTGATATTATTAAACATTTGAAAAGATAAGGTACTCAAATAATTATTAACACAGAAAGATGTACACTGTATCATAAGTGAAAAGTAGATTATAAATAGACATCAATAGTATTAGTTCACTTTACAAAATATAAATTTATGTAAGGAGGTTATATTTATAAGATGTATAGCAGAATAATAAGAGTAGTCAGTTAACTGTGGTAGGACACAGATTTAAAAAAAAAATCTCTATTTAAAAATTTCCCAAACATAAACTAGTAGAGCTGGTACTACATGCCTGTAGTCCCAGTATGGTATTTGAGAAACTCAGGCAAGAGGATTACTTGAGCCCAGGAGTTCCAGATAAGCCTGGACAACAGAGTAAGATCTCATCTCAAAAAAAACCAAAACAAAACAAAAAAAACCCCAAACATGTAGTTTTAAAAATGTTCAAGGGACCATCTGAAGAGAAAGATAATAGTTTCAAAATCAGTACTATTTGAACTTAAATAATAAGATATTTTAATACTTACAAGGAATATCTCGATAGCCATTTTCTAATGCACGAAAATAGTTCAGGAACTGCTGAGTGGGAATTTTAAATATTTCCAATAAACCAGTGTCTTGAAATAAGGTATACATAACCTAAATGTCAATTAAAATAAAGTTCACTTTAAAATCAGAATTTCTATTTGTAGCTGAGTATAATATGCTTTGCGATTTGAATTTATAAATGTTAACCATGTGAATGTCTTCAATTAATAAAAACTTTTCTATGATTCTTTCTAGACAAGTAAGAAAGGAAGACATCACACTAAGGGCCTTGAAAACCAAAGAAAGTTTACTACAAGTATCATGTCCCAATTTTTTAAATTTTTATGCTTCTCTTTAGGTTTCTATTCATAATCTACTGAAGGGCATTATGAATTCTATTCCAAATTAATCCTAAGTGTTAAAAAAGTCTGAAAAATATAATATTTATCACATTTTTGTCCCTAAAGAATTCAATGAGCTGAACCTGTATGTCCATACATAATCTGTCCATAGGCTTATGCATTTCAATATTTCAAGAAAGTAAATCTGATACTTTATGTGGACCTACCAGGTAGAAACGTAAGTCTGGGTGGCAGTAAAATGGGAAGTATTTTTCCATGGTTCTAAACATGTTTGGCATAAAGTATAGGAAGAGTAGGTGAAAAAAATGAAGCTTAAGTTTCAGTACTTAGAAACTAAATCAATGTTCACGTCCTTTTCAACCTCAAGAGTCAAAAAAAGTAAATATTCCTTTTTTAGTTTAAATTAAATTCCATTAATATACTCAAATAGACTAATTTTCATGTATATGTAATATATATAATTGTTTTCTATAAATTTAGTTCTCTGAAAAAAATAAATGAACAATGTCATTATTAAACTAGTACCTAAACCAACATTATAGTTAGAATTTGCTCCGTAAAACTTTGTGAAGAAATTAGTTTATAGTAAAAAAGTAGAGATTTGAAAACAAACCTGACTGAGAATGTTTCCTGATTTTTCTCCCATCTTTTCTACAAGCTCAAATATTTGAAAATTCCAATTGCTCATCTTTTCTATCAGTGAGTTATAATCTTCTACTAAAGTCATGCCCAGTGATGCTTCCTGTTCAACCTGTTCAGGAGAAAGCAACAAAAACTTTACCTTTTGTAAATATTGTTTAATAAACATCTAAAAGAGGACACCAAATTGAAGATCAAAAATGGCCAGGGCCAGGGATTTAGCTCAGTGGTTTCGCCGCCTGCTATGCAAGCATAAGGACCCAAGTTTGATCCCCGGTACCAAAAAAAACACAAAAAACAAAAATGGCCAGTAATAGTTATTATAATGGTTATCTCAAATAATGTACTTTTATCTGTATTTCTTACGTCTTCCCCTTTTTTTGAGTACTATCTCCAGACAACTATAAAAATGTCTCTTGGCATCTATGTGTTACTTTGATAAATAAAAATGTCATATTTTCAAATCAGTACACAAATCTGAAATCTATTATTTTCATTTAAAAAGTTACAAATATCAAAGGATGAGAGAAGAAAATCATCTGATTGTGCCGGCATTAACGTCCCCAAATAGGTTGATGAGATTATTTCCTAAAAGTTTAAAGTTTGAACATGAAAGGACACGAAAAAAATGCTATTATAAGTAGATTATTTTCACTATTTTTAAATGACTTTGCACATATTCTCTATAGTTTAAAATATACACAAAAGTATTATCAGGATAAAATATATCTACTATAAAACTAAATGTGTTTATTTAAAAATGAATGCAGTTTGTTGTTCTACAAGTTTAAAACTAATTATTATTTGTAACCCAAGCGTTTTTTCAGTTGTAGTGACTTCTCAGCAAAAAACTGTAAAATACTAGTACATTAAAAATCTTGTTCTGAAAAAAAAAATCTTGTTCTGGATGAAAATAATGAAACTAGTACTAACTACAATTGTATTTCACCTTAACATAATCATATTGAAAGTTTATTTTTTACATTTTGTTGCTGGGCCTCTTCGGACAGGTGATTATCACCTTCCAATATTAATTTTCTATAGGCTCTCTTCTCTGCTTCCTCTTCTTGAGCTTCCAGAAAGTTAAATGACTCTTCTGTAAAAATGGTGTTATCTTCTTCACCTTTCAAAAAAAAAATAGCAATAAATAGAAATAAAATTTGTCTTAAATGTGTAACTTTAAAAGGAAAATGGTTACTGATTAAAAATACTCAGATATAGTGAACCATAATGGAACTCAAGCACCTTGTGCTTAGGCAATACAGACATTTCGCACAATGTATGAGACATATCTACTCATCAATAAAAGAGAAGGGTGGATTCTCTTTATAAAAAGAGAAACAAAAAATCAGTCCCTACAAATAGGAACTTTATTACCAATTTGATATAAACAATTCTCAACATCACTGGGTTTTAGATACAAAAACTCATGTTCATAATTAGAAATGAATGAGATTAAGCCACATTAAGACCACAATGTCATGAATTGTGAGTTATTTCTCTGCCCATATGGTAATATTATTCTTCTCAAGTTACATGGAAAGGGGGAGCAGCATTGGTACCCAAATGATATTCATTCACATGATTAAAAGTGGTCCATTCATTCTTATTCTATACCCCAAATAGGAAATTTTCCTAAAACTCACCAACAATGGTTGAATGAATTGTGGTATATTCATACAACTGAATACTACAGAGCAAAGAGAATGAACTACAATCACAAATAATAATACACATAGGTGATTCTTAAAATATAATGTTCAATGAAGGAGGCCAGAAAAACAAGTATAGAATCTGTAATTCTTCTTAGAAAAAGTTCAAAAGTCTATTAAAACTGATACGTATAAGTACTGAAAGACAGGAAGATCACTACTTTGGAAGGATATAGCAGGAAGGGGGTATAAAGTGAAACTGAGGTAATGATATTTAATCTCTTCATCTGGGTACTGAATGCATGGTATATAAAAATTCATTAAGGACTGGGGATTTAGCTCAGTAGTTCTGCCGCCTGCCTCACAAGTGCAAGGTCCCAAGTTTGATCCCTGGTACCAAAAAAAAAAGAAAAAATTCATTAAGCTTTCAGGATGTAGAGTTAAAAAATTTATTCTATTAAATAAATAGAGTTAAGAGCACTCATTTGAGATTCAGAAGAACTAGATTCAAATACTGGTTTTGGTACTTCATAAAGGCAAGTTTTTTACCCCTGTAAAATATGAATAGTATTACCTTACTAGATGTTACACATAAAAAGGTGAAAAATAAATGGTAATCAAATCTAATTCTACAATACCGAATATATCAAAAAGGCATGGTTGACACAGAAAGTATTATCATATTGAAAATACAGTTTTCCCAAATGAAAATTAAATTACTTTAAAAAATGAAATTTAGAATACAGTAGTCCTCCCTTATCTAGTTTCACTTAATATAGTTTCAGTTATCCATGGTCAACTGTGGCTCAAAAATATTAAAAGGAAATTTCCAGAAATAAAATTCATATTTTAAAAAATTGTACACCAATCTGAACACTGCCATGAAATTTCAAACACTCCTGTTCCATCCTGGCCAGGACAAGAATCATCCCTTTGTGCAGTGTATTTATGCTGCATATGCTACATCCCTGCTAGTCACTTTGGATCCATCTTAGTTATTCTAACTGTAGTGGTACTGGCAAGGCTTGTGTTCAAATAATTTCACTTAGTAATAGACTCAAAGCAGCAGAGTAGTTTTTGCTGCTGACAATTTTAATACAGTATATTGTTATAACTGTTTTATTATTATAGTTAATTTTTTACTGTGCCTACTTTATAAGTTAAAGTTTACCATACATGTGTATGTATAAGAAAAAGCAAACTATATATAGAACTTGGCCCTATCTACAGTTTCAGGCATTCGCTAAGAGTCTTGGAACATATCCTTTGCAGTTAAGGGTGACTATATATCATTGAGGTTATTAGTTAATTAAGGCTGTACCTACCACAACATTCTAAAATAGCAGTTAACGTAAAAATTGTTGGAATTGAAGGTATATTACATTATCTACTTTTTAATCATCTGAAATTATAATGCTCTCTGCCATATAACAATAAAAGCAGCTAAGAAATTGTAGTAATTTCTTTTCCAAAGATGTCTACATTATTATTTATTACACACACTTTTTGGATATGTATTTTTATCACTTCTCTATCAAGAAAAAAATATTTATTTACCAACCCCCAGACCAGTGGCGGTGAACCTATGGCATGTGTGCCACAGCTGGCTCTTTGTTATCACTGAAAGCTCCAAAAGGATCACCATCATTGTTAATGCATGAACTGTTCTGATGAACAGAATATGGTAGAAGTGACAGTTTGTTCTGGGTTGAGCCATTAATTAAACTGGCAGCTTCTACATCCTCTTCTCTTTGAAACTAAGCAACAAATTGGGAAAATGCCTATAGAAAGGCCATATTTAGATGGACTGGTCAATAGCCAAGAGGTATATAAGTACAGTAATCTATCTTGGAAATTCAGCTCATTAGTACCCCAGATGAAAGCTGCCCCGGCCAATATCTTATTACAATCATAAAAGTCCTCAAGTAAGAATCTCTCAGATGAGACCAATCAACTCAAAAAACTATGAGTTATTCTTTTCTATGACTCCTTTAACTGTAATTACTGCTGTTAACATCCACCTTCTGTACATTGTCTTAACTCAGAACACTATCACAGAATATCATAGATTGAGGCTTACAAACAAATTTACTTCTCATAGTTCTGAAAGAGGCTAACAAGTCCCAAATCCAAGTGTCAGCATGTTGAAATCTTGGTAAGGGCCCTCTTCCAGGTTGCAAATTGCCAATTTCTTACATGGTGAAAAAGGAGACTTGCTGAAATTTCTTTTATAAGGTAACTAGGGACTGGGGATTTAGCTCAGTGGTTCTGCCACCTGCCTCACAAGCGCAAGGTCCTGAGTTCAATCCCCAGTACCAAAAAAAAAAAGTGGTCTGTATAGGGAACTAATCCCACTTAGGAGGGCTCTACCCTCATGACCTAATTACTTCCCCCAAATCCCACACCTGCTACATTCAGGGTTAGTATTCAAACATATGAATTTGGAGGGAGCACAAACATTTAGCCCAAAGCATAAGTGTACAATTTAACAATTTTAGTAAATCTAAAATGATGCAACTATCATGACAATCCCATTTTTGAACATTCTCATCATCCTTAGCAAGTTCCTTCATGCCTATTTACAGTTAAGTCCTATTCTTACCCTAGGCAACAACTATTCTGATTATTATCTCTATAAATTTGCCTTTTGAGAATTCTGTATAAACGTTACCCATATAAAACAGACCCTGACTTCTTTTTTTTTTTTTTTGATACCAAGGATCGAACTCAGGGCCTTGTGCTTGTGAAGCAGGCAGTGGAACCACTGAGCTAAATCCCCAGCCTCCCTGACTTCTTTATAATAGCATTTTAAAGCTTATCCATGTTGCAGCATATATCAGAAGCTCATTCCTTTACTTGCTAAACAGAATTCCACTGTACAGATGTACACATGATGTTTATTCATTCACAAGTTGATGGATATGTGTACTGTTTCCAGGTCTACATTTTCATGAATAGTGATATTATGAGCATGTCTCTGAGTACTTTTATTTTTATTAGATAGCTTCTTAGCTGTGTAGCACTGCTGAGTCATATGGTAAATGTGAAATTCTAAACACTGTCAAAATGTCTTCCGAAGTGGTGATAATCATTTTACATTCCCATGAGCAGTGCACAAGGCTCACAATTTATCTGTATCCATCCACATGGACTGTGTTGTAATTATAGATGCTCTGGAATTTTACCACAATAAACAAAATCTTTTGTTCATTTTTACACTGAGTAGTCTGACTTATTAATATTGGGTTGTAGGAATTCCTTATACATCATGGATACAAGTCCTTAGTCAGACATAATTTGAAGATGTTTCCTCTTAAATTGCTGTCTTTTCCTTTTCTTTCATCTTTTGGAAAGAATGCTTTAATTTTGCTAAAGCTCGATTTGCCAAAATTTTTTAGATTGTGAAATTGTATCTTAAAAATCCTTTATTCAATCCAATGTCACAAAGACTTTATCCTATATTTTAGAACTTTTATGGCTTTAATTTTTATACTTCGGTCTATTATTTTTAGTTACTTTCTGTGCATGAAGCGAGTTAAGGGCCCAAGTTCTTTTTAGGCCAAGTAGGTATCATATTGTCCTAGTACCATTTGTTGAAAAAAAACCTATCTTTTATCCTTTGTATTGTCTTGACATTGTCAAAAATCAACTGACTACAAATATAAGAGTTTCTTTTTTGAGTCTCAGTTCTGTTCTCTTGATACAGGCTCACCATTGTAACAATACCACAATGTCTTAATTGATGGCTTTGTAACAAGTTTTTAAATCAAGTAGTATAAGTCCTCCAACTTAGTTATTTTTTCAAATCTGCACTGGCTATTGTATGCATTACGTATTTCCATATAAATTTTAACACCAACTTACCAATTCCTACCGAAAAAAATCTGCTGGAGTTCGATAAGGACTGTTTTATATTTGTAGATCAATTTAAGAAAACCCATGTTAATAATACTGAGTCTTCTGGTCCATTATTATGAAATGTACCCCAATTATTTATATTTTCTCTAATTTTTCTCAGCAATACTTTATAATTTTCAGCACACATCTTTTACTTGTTAAATTTATCCATTCTTTTTTATAATATTGTGAGTGGAAATATTTTCTTACTTTCAATTTACAACAGTTTATAGTGTGTAGAAATAGAACAAATTGTTGTATACTGATCTTAAATCTTTAAAAACTTTTCATTAGTATATGTTGTAACACATAATGAATATATTCGTAGTGGGGTATTGGTACATATATCAAATCTTGATCCTTTTATTGCCCCTTCTCCTCTGTTACTCTCCTTCCTACCTCTCCCCATCACCAGATTCCCTTAATCATCACCAATTTTGTGACTTTGTTAAACTTGTTTATTATTGCTACTAGTGTGGTATGTGTGTGTGCATGTATATATGCATATTTCTTTGGGATTTCTATACAAAGGACCATTTATAATCTGTGAATAGTGATGGTTTCATTTCTACCT